ATGAAATTGAATGAGTTCTATAATTTTTAGCCGTCCCCTCCCCTCCCTTTGCTAACAAAAAAAAGTAAACAAACACAAATTTAAGAGGGTTGATATCGTAACCTCCCCCTCCCTTCCTAAAAAAACTCTATCCAAACCGATTTTAAGTTGCCATCAGTTGGAATGTTGTAAACGGCATTAAAAAAGCCCACTAGGATGAAAATACTCCTTTGTGTAACTTAACCCCTTCAACAGTAAAAGAAGGCTAAATATCAGAAAACCCTCCTTATATTTGGACGATTATCAGATAACCCTCCATAACTTTGAAAATATCAGAAAACCCTTAAGTTTAGGGGTAATCAGAAAGCCTCATTTAACTTTGAGATTTTCTCAAGGCCTCTTTAACTTTGAGATTTTATCAAAAAAAACTAAAAGCAATGATTTTATGAGGGGCGGGGGGTTTGATAAAATCTCAAACTTAAAGGAGTTTTTTTATAAAAACATAAAGGGGGTTTTCTGATAATCCCTATACTTATAGGGGGTTTGATATTTCGATAATTATGGGGTGTTATCTCATAATTGGTCAAAGTTAAGGGGGGTTTTCTAATATTTAAGTCGTTTAACAATCCCCAATTTCACCATTTATCACTCTCCCCCCAAATCAATTGCACCCTAGTTTCCTTCCTTTAAGAAGAATCATAACTTGAAGAGCCAATGAACGATCTGAAAAGAGGTTTCATAGCCACCTGCAAAGAAATTGGGGAAGGACGGAAATTGGGGAAGAAGAACGATAGAAATTGGGAGTTAGGTAAAAAAAGTTAATGATTAATTTAATAAAAACGAGGGTAGGAAAAGTGGTAATTACAACAAGTTAAAATAGTCCTAACTATGACGTGACAATCGCATGGGAATATTCTCTAGAATATTCTTACTTCAAAGTAACTAAAGATAGTAATGTGCCAGATTTGGACAACTAGAGTATTTAAGTGCTATATTTTACGACTTAGGGTTTTTAAGTCTAAAGATGGTGAAACAATAGGGTATTTAAGTGTCGTTTAGCCTAGAATTCTTTATTAAGGGCTAAATTACCATATTGGTATTTTTGTAGCACCCTCAGTAACATATTGGTATTTTTATTAACTCCGGAAACAAGGTATTTTAATTGAACATTTGTGTCAATTTGCCCTATTATTCTCACCCGCCAGCTATAAAAATGGCGACAACATCATATGTAATCCACGTGAGGCTTTTTTAGATAAAATAGAGGCTAATGTGACAAGGACTAGTGACGTGGCTCCTCTTATGACAGGTTTGTCACTACCTTAGAACCCTAAAATTAACCAAATAGCCCCTTGTCCTAAATTCCACCAAAATTTTTGAAATTTTGAGCAGGAGGGAGAGGGAGAAATCACAGCGGCAGTTGCAGATATTCTCTCTGAGGGAGAGAACGCAAGATGTGAAGGAAGAAGAAAAATTTTGACCTCATTTCTCTTTGCAGTATTATTTCATCTCCTAATACAACTCAAACTATTGAAACCATGACTCGTTCTTACATTAACTCCAAATCTTCTTGAGTTTGAACTAGCGTTTGACGAGGACATGATAAAGCTTCCCCTATTTTCAATTTTATCCCCATTTTGAAGATGAGAATGAAGGGGGTGAATTTGGATCTCAAACCCTAATTTTAATTTCATCATCAAATTTGGACATGAAGGGTGAGAGAGAGAAGCATGTGACTCTTACATACTTCAACGAACTCTGCCATGTCATTAACATATGGTCGCAACGGTATTAAAACTGTTCAAAATACATTTCATGAGCTGCATGTGATGTTGTCGCCATTTTTTTGGCTGGCGACGAGAGTAATTGGGCAATTTTCCTCAAAAATCCAATTAAAATGCCTTGTTGTCACCAGAGTTCATAAAAACACCAATCTGTCATTGAGAGTGTTACAAAAATACCAATATGGTAATATCTCCCTTTATTAAGCATTAGTTTGTTCACAAAAATTGATTTATTTGGATTGTGTGATACAACCATGGGTTTAAAACCCTACTTTTACAAGGTATGAGACCTAAAAAAGTATGAAGCACCATTTGTTGAGAGGTCCTTGATCTAGACGTAAATTCAAAATCTCTTCTTTTTAATCTTCTTCCATCTTGTTTTCCTCATCACCCTCTACAAAAAAATTAGTGCAATGTTCAACGACTATCTGACAACGCTCTATTCACCTATAATCAATGTTGAAATATAAAGTAGGGTTTTTTTCCTAGAAACCACCTTAAAATAGGGTAATTATACGAAAACCACCTTTCATTTTTCAATTTATACATAAACTACCTTTAAAGTAGGTTTTTCTTCCAATCAACCATCTCCCAGTCAATTTTCATTTAAAAACCTAAATTAAGCTTAAAAACTAAAACTCCATGTATGTAAGTCATATCCTAACAAGACCTAAACACTAAAATTATGAGTCACATATCTTGAATGTGAGTTTTTAAGACTAATTGTGGGTTTCTAGTGAAATTTTTGATAAGAGGAAGTTGATTGCAACAAAAGCCAACTTTAAAGACAGTTTATGCATAAATTAAAATTGAAAGGTGGTTTTCGTATAATTACCCTCTTTTTTATGTTTCTAGGAAAAAACCCATAAAATAACATTTTTATGTTTTCGTATAATTGAAAGGTCATTTTTATAGTTCTCACGCTCTTGGTTCATTTCTGCAGAATTCTAAGGGTCGATGGTCCTGCTCTCTCACCATTACTAGTATTTCCTCTTCCCCTATTATCCACCCTCTTGTAGCATCTACCTATTGACAGTGTTTTAAATGTCGGCCAACATGTTGGATTTAGGGGCCAACCGATACGATATGGAGCTTTTCAATGCGTATTGTGTTTTTAGGATTCATGTCGGATATATCGGGGAATATGTCGGATATGTCGGGTGATATGTCGGTTATGTCGGGCGATTTTTCAATCTGAAAAATTAGCTGGTTTTTTTAAATTTTTTGGTTATGTTTGTCTAATCAGGTTTGAGTTTAAATTCTTGATTGTCTTAATATTACTTTCAAAAACAAAAACCGATAAGTTAAGGGAAATGGAAAAAAGATCCAAGTAATATCCGTCTCTCATCTTCTATCTCTCCTTCGACATCTCATCGATCTCTTCTCCGAGCTCTTCCTTCGACATCAATATCGGGCGATCTTCTCTCTTCTTAACCGCTAATATCGGATTTCTCACCTCTTTCATTCAACATCAACCCTAAGCATCATAAGTTATTTACTCTTTTATATGTTTAGACAATAGAATTTTATAAGTCTATTTAGATTTTATTTATGATATTTATATTACACATATGCACATCATCCGATATGACAATCCGATATTTTTTTCATGTTCTCCGACATATCCCCGATTCTGTTATGCGATATGAATTTTAGTCGTCCGACATGAACCCGAAATCCGACATTTAAAACCTTGCCCGTTGAGACAACATTCTCATTCTCATTGTTGCTACTTGCACTTATTGCATTGTTGTCTTTCCTTCACAGTCATTCTCACCCTTCTAACTAATGCCTCAATACTGAGTTTCCTCAATTCTACACCTCCTAATCCCATTACCCTACTAGCTAAGCCAATAATGTCCTCTGTCTCTGGGAATCATCACTCTATAGTCTATGGTTCTACCTTCTGCACATCACGTAATCAAATTAAAGATATTTTAGTAAAAATTTATTGTTTCGAAAGCAGGAACACATCCAAGCATCTTAGTTGTAACAAGATGGAGCTTCTTTCTAAAATTTAAGGTTGCATTTGCCTTGTCAATGGGTGATAAAAGACTACACAATGAGTTTCCCATCACTTTTCTGGGTCATGACTCAAAACTTTAAAAAAGGGTCATTTTGTATCTCATAGACTTAGTAAAATCTCCTAATTTAATTGATGTTCTAACCATTATGCACTATGTCACTTCGTAATACCCTTGGTTAGATCTTTCTTTTTAAGCCTACCCGTAAAGCAAGGCATGTGTTTCCCCTATTTATTGGTTTTAATAATATAAATACAACTCCGTACTTTTACCAAAGTAAGTGCAAATATGCTAGAGGTAGGTGCCACCCTTAATGTCTTAATTAACAGCTTTACTTATTTCTCTTAGTTTAGTTAATTGTTCCCTTCTATCAATCTACTTGTGACAACAATACAATTGCAGGTTACTAACTTACTATAATAGTTTTTGAGTAGTGACAGAGCACTTGAGACAATAGTGACTATTGTTCATAGTACTAGGGCAACAAGGATGATGAATCTATTATTAGTTGTAATCATCAAAATGATCTAATGGAAGGTGGTCCTAGTAGAGATTGAAACCATTGTTATAAATAGCGGTAAATAGCTCCGCAATAGCGGCGTTAATAGTATTAGCGGTCCCTTCTCACTACGCTATCGCCGCTAACGCTATCGCCCAATAGCGGTGACATTACGGAATATGCGCTTTCTGTTCGCTAAAACGGCTAATAGTGTGTCATAACGGTAAATAGTGCGCGATTGCATACGAAATCCGCTTTTTTACTGCTATTTAAAAACGGTTTGAGGTTTATTTTTATAAAATTAAACCCGACCCTTGACCATTGCATTTCACCGTCTCCTGTGATTTTCGACATACTCCCATCACCTCTTATAGCTTCTGACACCTATCTTAGTTCTTCCTCTCGCATCCTTCACCTTGAGCTCCTCTTAGGGCAGTCCTCTCACCGCTCAGCTCTTTTTCTCGAAGACGATGACTTTTGACTCCTCCAATCATCTTCAGTATTACGTGATGGTTACATGTTTATTTCATGTTTAGGATCTCTTTAAATCATTAAATATGTACTTTTAGATTTTTTTTAGATTTTTTTTAGATTTTTTTTTAAATTTTTTTTTAGTATTTATACATATCTAAATTAGACCGCTATTTGACTTTACGCTTTTTACCGTTATTTTACCGCAATAGCCTAAATAGCCTTAGTGATGCTCATGGTTTTAAATATCGGCCGATAATCCGATATTATCGCCGAGTTATCGGATTTGGGAGCTTTCCGCTAATATCGGCCGATAATCCGATATTATCGCCGAGTTATCGGATTTGGGAGCTTTCCGCTAGGATAAGTAGGATTTTTATATTATCGCCGAGTTATCGGATTTGGGAGCTTTCCGCTAGGATAAGTAGGATTTTTAATCGGTTATCGCTTTTTGAGGTTTATCGGCGAGTTATCGGCGATAAAGGCACTTATCGGCCGATAAGTAAACTCTAAATATCGGCTTTATCGGCCGATAAATAGGATTTGGGAGCTTTTATTTTCTTTTAAATTTGCTCTTTACAAATTATGAGCTATTTGTTGCTTTTGGAACTTGGTTGATTGGTGATTAGCAAATGTTTTTTTATGGATATTGATAATGGCTCATAACTACTAAATATCAACTTAGTAAGTTAGTTTATGAATCTTATGATTAAATAATAATTATGTAGATGCGTAAATGGTTCTTTATTCTTGATGTTATCTTATTATTTGCTTGTTTATTATTCCATTTTGACTAACATTTTTTTTTCAAGCTTATGTTTGTTTATTATTTGCTAGTATATTACTCCGATAAATATTACTTATCCCCGATATATCCCCGATTTCCGCTATCCGATAAGGATTTTGACCGTCCGATAAATCCCCGATAACCGACGTTTAAAACCTTGGTGATGCTTCACCGCTACGCGACGCTATCCGCTATCGATAACCTTGATTTAAACTAGTATAAACTGGCTTTTTGAGAATTGGAGTCGTAAGACTTACAATTGTCGGTAAGAATTTGACTTGGTTAAACGAACTTCTAGGGATTTTGTTGATCACTTGGAGGCACATAACTAGGACCCATGTAGAGCTATTGTTGAATAGCTCAGTAGTATCATGTGATTTATGAGCCAATTCAACTATACAACTTGCTACCTGTTGTACTCCATTTGTAGCCCCCTCATGTGCACCAGTTCAGCCTAGTCCTATCATAAATGCTACCATCTCTGACACGCTACAAAATCTACCTTTAATTTGAATTCCAATCTTTCTCACTCCTAAAACTGATATGATTCAGTCTAGTCGGCCATTAGTCTAGCTGGAAAATTATTTATTATATTACAGATTAATTAGGCTACAACCTATTACACTGAAAACGACCCTCTCCAGCTCATCTAGGTTTGCTTATTGTTTGTTCGCATACTGATTTTCTAGAAGAACAATCTTGCATGTTGTTTGTCAGCTCATTGTGACTTTATCATCTCAGGAACCTTGCATCTCCTCTAGAAATTGGTTGTCAATGGTGAGTGTAACATGTCTTCTGAATGACCCATAAGTGACCAGGGAGTGGTGTGCCTCGGCCACCAAATAATGAGCTTATGAGTATTCTGCTAACAGTGATCTTCCTTTAATTATATTCTTCTAACAGTGATCTTCCTTTAATTATGTGCAATCTGGGCTTCAAGAAATCCTATGAATCCCATCATCCATTAATGCCTTCCTTGATTTTGCAAATTCCACAAGTTCGTACGATACAGGGGTTATAAACTCGATCTAGTGAATATGCCGTCTTCTCTATCACTTGTAGGTCAAAAGCAAATGATTAAGGTAAGAATATAGTTAGTTAATAAGTGCCCTTTCCTTACCTTGTGAAGAGTCTCCATCAATTTGGTTATGCAGCTTCTTTCTTGAAATCTTAAGGTCTTTGAGTGTCACAAGAAAAGACACTCCATCAGAGACTTCATCAGTCTCTTCAATGGCAATATTGTTAGCCTACAACAATTATAATTACATGGTCTGGATGAATTTATCCTAAGTTTCAAGTTAATTGCAGTTGTCTTCGTTGTGCTACATTGTCTATCATAGTTAATGGAGAGGCAGGATCAAGTGTAGCAGGACTTTGGCAAGATGACCCACTATTTTGATACATCTTCATTTTTAGTCAATGATGTTTTTACCGAAATTCTTTATTTGATTGGCTTTATTGGTATTATGCATCATTTTAAAGAGCTCCAATGTATCAATATTACTTCATTAACCTCCACTGTTCCAATGATGTTCTCATCTTATTTCCAATCATAAGTTCATGAAAAGAAGAATCATCACTCACGGCTCTCAAGCTCTCATGCGATGTTAAAAACAACTTTCGCAAACCATTAATCTACAATCTCTCCTTTAAAAAGAACATAAAACAAAAGCAGCCTAAAAATGTATCTCCTAGATTATTCCTTTTGTCCCTTTGTTATCCACTATTCTTAGATTTTTGTGTATTATAATTTTTACAACCCAAGAGGGTCTAGCCGAATTAGTAAACTGCCTATGAGTAGTACTCCAATGTCTCAGGTTCGACTCTTTTGGGAAGCACCCACAAGAATTTAATTTCCTCGAATACCCGAGGCCATGGAGGTGACCCTTAGCCACGCCCGGGGTTTTGATAGTCATGTTCCGAAGGATCGTGGGGGGGTTTTGATAGTCATGTTCCGAAGGATCGTGGGGAAGCTCCCTCGCCAAATGAAAAAAATATATTAATAAGGTTAGGTAGTCATGCCCACTCACTAAAAAATTCTTGTTAACAGTCATATGTAAATGTGTGATCATGTATGGATGGAATAAGATGATGCATGTAATGCATACATACCGCGTAAATTTGGCGCGGAATCAAAGTAGTGATGGTGGTGGAAGAGGAGAGCTGATCCGTAATCTGCATGATGAGATGGCCGGAGAAAGCAGCAGCAGCTTCAGAGTCATCGGTGTGGTGTTGATGTGAGAGAGAGGAGATGAGATGGACGAGGTGCTGCGCTAGGGTTTCGTCTCGGGTGAAGCTATCGCAGAAAAGGGCACAGACGAGAGAGGGAACGAGAAGCCTGTGGGCATCGTGATGGTGAAGAAGGACGAGGGAGTTAGAAGAGTCTAGGAAGGAGGAGATCTGAGAGAGGGCGTAGGAGACGTGGTGAGAAGGAGAGGATGGGTCGGATAAGAGGGCGGAAAAGCAAGCCAAGCAGATGATCCCACCCTGCGATGTCTCCACAACTACTCTCCAACTGTGGCCCTTTCCGCACCTCCGACCATTCTCGACTTCTAATTCTTCGTCGACTGCTTCTTCCTCCTCCTCCTCCTCCTCTTCCTCCTCCTCTGTTCTTCTACTAATACTACTGAACATTTTCCGCCCTGACAATGTCATAACCTCCTTCGCTCCTCAGCTCAGATCTGGAGGATATATATGATTTCATCGGATAAGGAGGAGATAGGATTTCATCTGATATATCGGTGAATTAGTGAAGGGGGAAGGTTGGGAGGCTTTTATGCAAATGCTCAGGAGATTTGGGGAAAAGATGAATTGGTTACTTCCTTCTCCGTTATAGGGCAAAAGGTCATCTGGGTCTCCGAGCGGGGCTCCATACTTAAATTGATCCTCGTAATTTTTTTTCTATCAACTTAATCTAAAAATGTATCAAGGCCCCAAAAAATTAAATGGGACTAGGGAGTGGAAATGAACCAAATAATTAACAAATAGTTCGATAATTGTTCGAATAACTATTCGATCATATTCGATTCGGTAGTTCATTTACCACTAAATAAATATTTTTTAGTATTCGAGTTTACTAACGAATAGAATTTAACCAGATGTATATTCGATTCGTTTGTCTATTAAATATTCGTTTAAAATTTAATCACAACTTATTATTTGTATTATTGCACATATGATGTCATATTTTTAATTCACTTACCATTTCTATTTAACCTTTATATACTGAATTTAAGTCTTAAATAATCTTAAATCTATTTTCTAATTAAAATTTTAATTTAAATATATATACATCATATATTAAAAAGGAATACATTTTATTTATGAATTTTAATATTATTTGAAAATCAAATTTTTTAGTAGAATAAATATACTCTAATATTCGATAAGTATTCGTGAATATTCATGAATATTTATCAAATACCAAGTATTCGAGTTCGAATTCGAAAAACTAGATATATGAATATTAGAGTCCGCATTCGAATTCGATAATTTTAAACAAATACAAATACGAATACCTTAGTATTCGATTCGATTCGATCGTTTACCACCCCTATTATGGGACTTGACCCAGCCCCTTATACTTTTTCTTTTGTGTTTTAACCCCCCAAAACGTGTTCTGCCCCCTTTCACACTCTCCTAGAAAAAAAAATTCCGAAATTACTCTTCCCTTTTTCTTCTTCTTCTTCTCCTCCTCCTCCTCTCCCCTCTCTCTTCTGTTCTCTCCCCTAACTGCTCCTCTCCCCTCTCTCCTCTCGTCCTCTTCTTCTTCTCCAGACCCTGGCCCACACCCCCCACCCCTCCTCCCTCTCCCTCCCCGGGCCCCGTTCCCGACCTCCTCCGCCTCCTCCGTTTCAAGGTCTTCGACTGGGCCGACCATCACAGCTCTCACCCATACCGTCGCATCTGCTTTGAGCTTAAATCTCTCCATCTTTCAGATCCGCAAGGGACTTTGAAGAAGGTTCTCTCTTCTTCTTCTTCTTCTTCTTCTTCTTCTTCTTCTTCTTGGTTCTTGATTTCAAATTGAAAGGGAAATGGCGTCTTGCATGATGGAATTAAGCAAATTTTGAGACTGATGAAAAATTTTATGTTATTTGTGGTAAAGGTGAGGCTTCCAACACATGTTGTTCACTTGAATGGTCCTCTCGTGCTATATTATCATTTACTTCCTAATGTTTATGCTTTTTATTGGGGTTACTAATGTCAGGTACCTAGATCAATTTATTATGACTCTTATGTTAGGTCCTTTGTTTTGATGATGATTTACAAACACCATTATTGATGTTAATCGTTTATTGAGCTATATTGTAGATCACATATCATTAGCACATTTCATGGAGGATTGGATGGAAAATGAGCGATAAAGACAATATTCAAGGAGGTGGAGACAAAGTAATGAAACAAAGCTTTCAAGAGCACTATATTCATGAGAAGCTTCATCAACTCAAGAGCAAATATCAAAGACTCAAGCCATGTACTCATATGTGAGGGATATTTGCTATTTTGTTTTCTCTCTAGTACTAAATGTAGGCAAGTAGTTAGTTGATTACATTTGAAGCTCATGGGATAACACACTTGCACACTTTCAAAAACTCGTATTTAGTTACTTTTGCTAAAATAGTGATTCTCACAAATACGAGGACCTTTTTGCAAAATTCCTTTTTAAACAAGTTTGTTAAAATGTTTATAAATTGTTTATAAAGTTTCATAATTTTTGGAATTTATTTACTATTTTTTACAGAGTTTTGAAACTCAATTTCAAAATCATTTCAGGCTGATAACTTGTTATCAGTCGACTGATGTGTCGACCGATGAAAGTACCTGGAATCATCAATAAGTCTCTGTTCTATTTTGGTCGACTGACCAATCGACTGACGAGGTCGTCAGTCGACTGACGAGGTCGTCAGTCGACTGAAATGATCGTCAGTCGACTGGTGAGCTGGAAATTGTATACAACGATCAGCTCATCAGTTGACTGATGCTTCCCGTCAGTCGACTGATGGGTACAGTAACGACTAGTTTTTTACAGAATCTGTTTCTCGATTTTTGTGGGATTTTGCTGATTCCTTGGGGTTTTGGATGTTGTATTCTCTTTCTATAAATACCCAACACCCAACTACTTCAGCAACCCAAGTATTATTGCAAATCTCTTGTGTTTAAGTTTGTGGTTTTCAAAGAGCTTCAATTTTCAATCTTGTTCTTCACTATTTCAAAGTTCACATCCCAAGCTTCAGTGCAATCTCTCTTCTTGTCATAGGGTTACTGTAAAGAGAGGGTTTTTCTTTCATTTGTTAATGTTGTGAGCTTGATCTCATGGAGATCGATTTGTGTGGTTGTGAGATCTCGGTGGAGACACTACTGCAAAGGGGACTATTGGCGACGGAAAATTCCGTCGCCAAAAGTCCAAAATCCGTCGCTAAAAGTTTTAGCGACGGAAAAAAAGAAATTCCGTCGCTAAAAATCCGTCACTATTGTCAGGGTAGGTAAATCTACCTTTAGCGACGGCAAATCCGTCGCTAATTTATAGCGACGGATATATAGCGACGGAAAATCCGTCGCCAAAGTATAATTTTTTGACGACGGTATTTTCCGTCGCTATACAATTAACCGTCGCTATATTTTTTGGCGACGGATTTTCCGTCGCCAAAATATTCTTTTGGCGACCGTATTTCCGTCGCCCTATTTCCGTCGCTATATAATTTTCCGTCGCCAATATATATTGGCGACGGAAAATCCGTTGCTAAAAGTTGTTTAGTGCACATCTGGCGTGTCAGTTTTCCGTCGCTAAAAGAGCTTTTAGCGACGGAATATCCGTCGCTAAAAATAATCTGAATTTTTTTTAAAAAAATTTTGAAAATAAGAAATTCATGTACAATATATTTCACAACAATAACCTGTACAATAAATTTACCCAACACAAGCTCATATAACACATATTTCACGTATATATAACAATTATTTCACTAAAAACATAATAAATATCCCAACATTAGAAATGTTTATACAGCACACCCAACATTAGAAATGTTTATACAGCACACCCATTGTTTTTAATGTTAAAACAAATAAACTCAGTCCCGATCATCATCATCCTCATCCTCATCACCAACTCCACCTTGTCGAGAAGTCCCAGCCTAAAAAAATAAATAAAACGTTATAGAGCAATACGTACATCATCAAAAACTGAATTTTACAGTAAAGTAACAAATTGTAAAACAACAAGGCATAACATGCAAGTATAGTAATAATAGAGTAGCATGGCATATTCTTACATGTTATATGATTCAGAGAGAGTATCATGGCATATATTTATGTATTATACGCAAGCACGCACATGTTTTTAACAACGCACGCACCCGTACCTATCTCCGCCGACACGCACACACGCACGCACGAGTACCCAGCTCAACCCAATCTCCACCCTTCCCCCTCCCCCACCACGACCAAACCCAACATCAAGCACGCACATAACGATCACGACAATACAACACATGCAACACCACAACACAACAATAACAACACCACCACCACTACAATAACAATCCCCCACCCACGAACCAACCAAACTCCTACCCCCCACCCCCTCCCCCTCCATCATCATCACCACCACCACCACCACCACGACGAAAACACCCACCAACCAACAACATAACCAACGACCCTACGCACCCTAACCCTAACCCTAACCCTCACCGAACCCTAAAGATGTATACAAACTAGCTATTAAATTAATCAGATATGCAAATTACTTTTTAAAAAAACTACATAACTAACCAATACCAAACTCCGATAGGAACTTTCTTAGTTGTTCTCATTAACTTCAAAATATACAAAAAGGCTTTACAGAGACTGACTAAGAAAGTTGTTTTTTGGCATTTGGCTGGTTGGAAAAAAGAATTGTCCACTCGTCTAAACTGTCATCACCCAACTAAACAATTAAGAAATGCACCATGTTCAAGTCCAGGGAATTTCTCAAGTAATGCACCACACAACTAAACAACAAAAATGTGATTTGTCTGCAACTCTCGACTTCTCAAAGGTTCCCACAAACATTAATAGACTAAAAATTTTCAATTCACTCGTAACAAATATGATCATATGCACTTCTAGGGTACGAAATTCTAACAAATTCCATCACCACAAAACACCAAAATCCAAACAGTTCATGTAAAAATTCCCAAAATTTATTCCCATATGCTCCCAATCTGCTGTTCTACTGACATAATAGACAATTAACAGTAACAAAAATAAAGACTAAGGGGGTACCTCAACTGAGAGAGAGGGGCGGCGGAGGGGCGGCTGCTGCGGTGCAGATCGCCGGAAGAGAGAGGGGGGGGGATTTGGACAGATTCGGGAGAGGGGGGGGAAGGAGGAAAGGAGGAGAGAGGGGG